ATGATAGAACAAAACACATTGAAGTAGACAAACATTTCAGAAGACAAAGAGTGGCATCAAGAAAAGTTTGTCTTCCTTTTATTGCCTCAACAACAGTTAGCACGGGTTTTGGCCAAGGGTGTCCCTAAGGCAAAGTTGCAGCACTATGTAAGTAAGTTGGGCATGATTGAAATCTATGCTCAACTTGAGGAGAGTGTAGAGATGATGGGCTGAATGCGCATAGTTTCTTTCTTTTTATTTAGTTTTGTATATGATTTATGTTTGTGATTAGTGGACCTTAGTTATGGGCATGTTTCCTTTCTTTTCTAATTGCTTTTAGTGTTGGCTGCCCTACTAAGGGTATTCCTATAATTGTATTTCACATTACAATCAAAGAATAAAAGATGATTTGGGGAACTGGAGAGAGATGTTCAATTGACTCTCTTCCTTCTTCCCTTTCTCTTCCATCTTCTTCTTTCTTTTTCTACTTATTTTTAGATTATACAGGTGGGATTCACAACTATAATCAAAAAATAATACTCTCAAAATTGCTACACAAAATGAGAAAAGTCCTATCTTTAAGAGTCTGCTAGAACTGATACCCAAAAGAAGGTTGTTCCAATAAGTGACAACATCCCATATCTCTTTTCTTCTTCTTCTTCTTTTTTTCCATGTATGTGAGAGAGAAAAGCTGTCATTCGTTCAGAGTTTCTGTTTTTCCTCTCCCTCCATATACACTAACATATATAAATGGTGACAAACTCCATACAATGTTACCTTGATTACTAAAGCCTCTAATTGGCCCAAAATCAATCAAGAAAATTAAGTTCCTTAGTATGCACATTGCCTTCCATATGATTAATGAAGTAGGACTGTACTTTTACGGAGAAGCTACATGTATCAAAAGATTTTAGACTAATTTTAGTAACCCACTGCAAAGAGTACATTCATTCCTTAAATTCTGTCCCCTGATATGAATTGATTGATTTTAAAAATAACATGAAAGACAAACGTTTTGGTCGGAATACGGGGCAACCAGATCCATTGCCACATTAGAAACCCCTCTTCACATGAATCAAGTGAAAGAAATCAATGATATGCACAGAATCTGACATAACACAGGTGAAAGAAAAACAAAGATGCTAGATGCAATATAATTTTTCACTTCAAATGTCGGATGCAATATAATTCTACAAGGGAGCCTCTCCAACCCAAATATCCTCCCAAAAGAGGACCAAATTACCATTACACACGGCATACCTTAGAAATATGTAAAGTTGAGGGAGAACATTATGAATTGCCTTCCAAGGTGTTGCCAAAGTTTCCTGCCGCCGAGAAACCCCAACATCCCATCTATTCACTAAGTGACCATGAATACTTCCTATCACCTCATGCCATGATCTCTCTCTATTGGTTATCTCCACAACATTTCCCCAACAATGTCGTATTCTTTTGCAGAAAGTTCCCTATCCCCAAACCTCCCTCCTACACACCACCTCCACTTCACCATATGATCCAACTTTCCCCTGGTTCCCACAAGAAGTCCCTCATCAACTTCTCCAGTTTCTTGGCTTCCATAGAGGATCTCCTAAACACCCTGCAATCGCCTCCACCACTCTAGTATCCAAATTTATCCCTGCCACACTACTCTTCAAGGTTGACTCTCTGATTGGAAATTCTTTCAAACCTTTCAACCAAAGTCTTTAGATTTCTCGCCTTCTCAAGGTCTCCCCCTTCATAGAAAATTAGTTGGTCATCTATGACTACAAATTGAAGATGGGTAACTGAAACTCAACCCTGCCTATTTTCCACCCATTTACTATATTCTCCCTATCAGCCTTTGAAATCATTCAATAATGTGAAGAGGAAGGGCGATAAAGGATCCCCTTGCCTTATACCCCTACAAGCTGGGAAGAAATCCCTTACCACACCATTAACCAAAATAGAGAAGTGACTAGAGTTAACAATGCCACGAATCCACTTACACCACCTTTCTCCAACAAGGACAAGGATTCCCCCATCCCCATCTCCATGAGAATCCCCACTCCCCACCATTTTATATGATGTCATATTCACTTTATTTTTATTTCCATAAAATAGTTACAATTTACAATCCTATCAAAATGAATCCAAGTATATTCAAATGCATTCAAACATATCCCGAAGGGCTTTGCTCAACACCTTAGAAGGCTATCTCTGGCATTCTCCCTAAATTCCTCAACTTTGTAAGGTACGATGCTTGCTCTGGAAACTCCATTCTTTTTTGGGAAGATACATGAGCACTCAACCCCTAAAAGACTGTTTCCCTTCTCTCTATTCCATTTCCCTCTTTAAAAAGAAACCCATTTCATGGTTCCTTCCCCCCCCCCCGGTTCGCCCTTTGGCTTTAAATTGGGATTTTGGGTTTCGAAGAGGGTTAAGGGATGAAGAATTTCTTTGCGTTTCAAAGCTGTTGTTGCTTCTAGATTCGGTGTGTTTGGACCCCCCTAACCCGGATAAAAGAGTTTGCTCCCTAACCCTGGTTGGCTCATTCACTTGTGCTTCTTTCTTTAAAGCCCTTTGCTCCAACCCCTCCTCTCAGGTCTTCCCTGTTAAAGAGGTTTGGTCAAGACCAATTCCCCCAAAATAGCAGTGTTCTGTTGGGAAGCCTATTATGGTAAGATCAATATTGTGGAAAACTTGCAAAAGAAGAAACCTTTTATGTGTATGTCCACTAATTGGTGCTTTCTATGTAAAGTGAAGGGTGAGGACTGTAACCATTTGTTGATATCATGCTCCTTTGCTACCAATATTTGGAACTGGGTTGTTTCATTATTTGGGTGCATGTGGAATTTGCCCTCTGAAGTAAAGCTGCTGTTCACTCCGACCGCTTTTGGGAGATTGACAAAAAGAGGGAAGCTAATGTGGAAATGTATCAGAGCTGCTACGTTGTGGACTATATGGGAGGAGAGAAATGCTAGAATATTTCAAGAATAAGAAAGAAGTTTTGCTGAAATCAAGGAATGCATATTGACAAGGACTATCTCATGGTTAAAATCTTCACACTTGTTGGCAAATTACTCCTTTGATGTCTTAAGGAGAAAATGGGCTGCAGTGGCTGCTACAGTCTCCACCAAGATCAATTCACATGTTGAATGGAATCCCCCACCGGATGGTGTGGTAAAATTGAGTTTTGATGGGAGCTGCCAAGGTAACCCAGGGCCATCCGGAATTGGTGGGGTTCTGAGAGACAAAGACAGCAATATGTTGTCTCTATTTTCAGGACCAGTGGGTGAAGGTGATTCAGTAAGGGCAGAGCTACTAGCAGCAGTAAAAGGTATACAGATGGCTAGTCAAATTGGAGTGAACAATTTGTTAGTAGAAGGGAATTCCAAGGTAGTAGTAGGCTGGCTGATTAGCCCAGAAGCAGCTTGTTGGGGCTACAGAGATCTGTTAAAGAAAGTTAAATGGATGACAAGGAACATGATTGTCAGCTTTCAGTGGGTTAGAAGATCAGAAAATGCAATGGCTGATTCTCTGGCCAAGCAAGGGGTGTCAAGGAGAGATCTGTTTTGGGCTACCTTGTAATTGTGTCTCAGGCTTGGGCATGTTTAGTGTATCTGGTTCAGTCCTAGGGGGGGTAACATCTCGTGCCTCCTCCTAAGCTGATTGTATTTTCATTATTTGAATTAATAAAACTACTCTCATTTATCAAAGAAAAAAAAAAAGACATATCCAACCATATTTTAAAAATACTAACACAAATTCATAAACTGATTCATAAGAAAAACACAAATACTCAACATAAATCCCAGTATTTGGACCTCAAGGCCTTAAACCAATTTATTAAAAACTTAAATATCTATGGTTTGAAATTATATATATAGCAGGGATCCCCACGGTGCGGGGATCGGGGACCCCGTGGAGTGGGGAGTGCTCTCCCTGCCCCCACCCCATCCCCACCAACAAGGATGAAACATTCCCATCCTTGTCCCCACAAGGAAAAAATCATCCCCCATTCGGGATGGATCCCCACAGGGATCAAGGAAATGGGGAAAATCGCCATCCCTATTTGGAGTACTTCTCTTCATTTGGCTACAGACATTAATGATAAAGAGGTGTCCAAGAGAATTGGGCCTATGGCCCATATGAGACGGTAGAAATTCTAGATTATTGCCCAAGAAAAAAGTAGTACTTAGGTGCTTTGATTGATCATGCAACAATCTAATTAGCAAAGTAGCTTCATACCAAAGAGCAGTTCAGAGATTTCAGCACCAATGATATAGTGAGAAATCAGTACCATGTTTCATCTTCATCAATAAGGAACTTTATTACATCAATAGTGGTCGCCCTCCACAAGACCATCAGCATAGCTAGCTATTTTAATGAAATTTTTCAGTAATCTAGCCCTTTTAACAAAAAGAGAATACAGAGTCCTAGAATCCTTTTTCCAACCACTGGAAATAAATTGCTGATATAGCAAGAATTTTTCAAAAATCATTGGTAAATTTAACAGTTTATGCTCAAAACCTCCACTTATCATGAACAAACAAAGTCAGACACAATAACAAACATTAGTCTATGCTTGGATGACAATGATGATGCTATAAAGTTTCATATGCAAAGATACTTTACTTTTCTGAGCTCCAAAGTGCCCTTGACATGATCCGGTGTTGGAAAATTACAAATAAGAATTTTTCTTCATTGAGTGCATTTGGGTACAGGTATCTGCACCAAGTTATAAGTGCTAGCACTTATAGTTGCATGTGCATTCTCATTTACTAAATTCAGAACCAAGGAAAAAAAAAAGGCAAAAGGAAACAAATAATGGCATCTTTAGAGAAGTCACTCAGATCAGAACAGGATCATGGATTGTATAATGAGCACAAGAGTTCTGAAAACATAAGCTACATATCAAAACAAAAGGCATCATCCAAAAACTAGAAAAGGAGGTAGTTAACAGGGAAAATACGAATACTTAAATAAGATACTAAACAGGAAGGGAAAATTAAAAGAAAAGAAAATCAAGCTTTCAAACTGACCTGCTGTGCAAGCACAACACGACCATCACATTTACCAGAAGAAGCACAAAAAAGTGGAAATGTGTAATTTCTCAACTGAATAACAAGAGATCCTGTTTGCAAAGCAATATTTCTCCCATACAATCGGGAAAATGGTATATCATTTTCTAGACAAATAGAGTCAAGCTTCTTTATAATCTCTATCATCCCAGCATCACCGCCTTCAATTTTTGTCAAGGTTACATCCAATTCTGTAGCGCAGATGGAAAGAAGAGAAGTTCTAGAAGTACTGGGCTTAAAACCAGCCTGGAAGCCCTTCCTACAGGCACCTGATCCTTCAGATAACACTAGATTCTGGCATGCATTGAAATAAGACCGGAACGCCTGTTTCTGAATTTCTTCCCGCAATCTCTCTATAGCTAAAGCATCCTGCACATCAATCTCAATTCCATTATGGTAGACCGTTCTCTCAGGACAAGATTCATTTGATTCAGAAATACCTGAAGACTGACTACTTTCAGAAATTAGGTCATCAAGAAACTTCAGTCTAACAGCTAATTCACAGGTATCATTCTTCATTAGCTGATAATGTTCATCAAGCCAACCCTGAATTGGCTCTTCTTCAATGTCTGCCTTCAGCTTACGTATGTAGAACTTCATACATCCAAATTTTGCTGAATTAGGCCTTTTTGATTTCGAATCTTCTTTCTTCTTGGGAAATATACGATTAACTTTAGCAGTGCTAATAAGCTTCAAACCTCGCAACATATCCTCAACTGCATCATCAATAGCACGTAACTGTAATCGATAAGGCATGCAAATATGAACATCAAGACCTTGAATAACCCAATCCAATGTCGTGCTCACTTGATCATTTGAATCAGATGAGCAATTAGATGCATTAGGAATACGGGAGATTTGCATTCGGCTGCTTTTGAATATTCTGGCTTCATTAAAACTAAGTGTAAGTCCTTCCAGTAGTACACCTATTTGGGCATTCTCAGAAAAAATTGACTGCACCTGAACTATTGCCTCTACACCATCTCCAATAGCAGCAGATATATTCAACATTTCTACATCAATAGCAACAACAGATTCTCTTCTTTTATGTTCTCTATTGGATAGTCTAGGATCTACAAAAGTTTCTTTCTCCAATTCCAAGGTTTTCCTACTTGATATCTCTTCCTTTATATCACTACTATTAAACCCCCCAAGCTTCTGATTATGAACCAATAGCTTTAATCGCAGCATAAGCTCAAATAGTGACAAATGAACATCAGGCTCCCACCTGGCAGAAATATCAGTTGCACTGAAAAGAGAGCAAACAGCAATCTCACTTAGTCCACCAGAACGGCGTACAAACTTTGCATTCTGCATATCAAACAGGGTCACATTTGTACTGCATTTATGTTCTTCCAAATATTCGTGGTAAATAGATCTGGCTCTTTCAAGTTCCATCTGTGTTGACTGTTTCTCCTTGTTCACACACAAACGGAAATGGAAGATGTCAAGAGATATTGAATAGTTCAGGTACTTGCGTTCATCAGGTATCGTGGATGTTATATTTGCTATTCGTGGTGTACCATCAGCTGAGACACTGATTAAAACTTGGCCACCCTGTGATCCATAATTTACACGCTTGGGATCTGAAACAACCATATTTTCAACACCCACATCACCACAGAAATTTACAGAACATCGTTCAAGATTTAGTTTCACAAGTCGGGTCCCTCTCCCTGATGGTTTGGCAGAACGCCCAGTCCTGTTCTGTGTCAATCTTTTCCCTGAAGCTGACAAACTTCTAAATAGTGCTTGAAAGGACATGACTGTTGATATAAGTGATTCAACACGTTGGAAACTAAAGTATACACCCATTCCAGTCACATCAACAGAAAGAACCAATTTAGATTTAGTGGAACCATGTTCTTCAGGTGATTCTGTGTCCTTTTTTCCCCAATCCAGGCTCACCTTTGCTATGTGCACCAAGGAACCTGAATTTGTTTCCATACCAAAGAGGCTTTCCTTCAAGCATTCTTGATATTCATCTGCCAAGTGCAAATGCAGTTCACCAAATTCCATATGTAATGCAACACCTGTTGTTGCTATATTATTTGCAAACAGATGTGAAGATTGTGAACATCCCTGCATTAGAAATTCAAAAGTTAATATGATTTTGCACAGTAACTTACCATAGAGGATCTTTTTTTTGGCACGAGGCATCTGGAGGACCACCAGTAATATAATTATAATTTCCTTAAAAAGACCCATATGTGCAATTTCATTTCTCTATAAGAGTAATTCAAAAATGTAAGAACCTACAAAGGAAAAACTAAAATATTACTATTTTCCAATCATTAATTGCTCCATACTAAAATGAACTTGAGAACAAAATCTAGCAATGGAATACAGTACATACCAAACTGCAGACACCTAGAAGGCAAACCATTACATTGATTGTCCCCTACATCTTTTAGGTTGATGATTAAAAACTTTTAGCAACAAAATGAGTTCTGTTGTATTAATGATTAGTTGATTCATAGCTACAGAAGGATTAGGAAAACATTACACATCATTAATGCATGCCTGAATAAGAAACCAAGAGGAACACACATGAGAAAAGGATATAAAGGAACCAAATGAACAGGCAGAAAATCAAAAACCTCTTCTCTGTACACATCATAAGTTGCAATAATGCCTACAGGAAGTAAAAGCATGAACAACTGTATTTCCTACAATACACATGCGCACACACACATACATAATTACATACAAACACACTCAAGTACAGAACTTACATGGTACAGTGGTGAACCACTGACACTATGAAGCACAACAGTCATTTCTGGGGCTGAAATGGTACAAGTCCACAAGATAGCCTTGGTTTCGGTTGACTGTGGCTTCTCAAGGTTAGAGCTTTCATCATGAAGTACCAACTTTTTCTTTTTTGACAAGTGAATCTGCATCCATGGCTTTAATCTGCTCATGATGATACTGCACTGGGTACCGCCAAGCTTGATATCAATTTCAGCTCTAATAGATGCTGTCGACTGAAAAAAAAAATGCACCATCAATTCACAATAGTGGAAAAATCAATCTTTAACAAACTCCAAAAGCATTTTTTTTCTTGTTTGGCATGGGTGGGGATAGAAAATAAAATCAATAAATAGGCATGTATACCAAGAGATGATTGTATAATTAACATAGACTACAAAACAAGCAACAGAGATAACTATTTACACATTTAAAGTAGTCAAGAACTGTGTTAAAATGTCCACAGTTGGTAGAACCTTACATATTTAGGAACAATGCTTGGTGCTATGGTAAAATCTCAGTCTAACAAACATGAGAAGCCAGGTTTTGAGACTGGAAACAGCCACTTCATGCTAAAATGCCAAAGTGAGGTCCATACAATCCACCCCTCCCAAGACACAGATAGATGGGACAAGCATTGGTTAAAGCAGTTGAAGAGGCATATTATCATCATATGATTAGCAAACTTTAAAATATGCAAAGATGAACACTCTTGGATTTGATAGGGAGGGGGAAGGACCTAGACCACAAGAGGTGGACGAAGGAGAGTAAAAGAACCTGGTTGTTAAGACTTTTTCTTGTAAAAAAAATGAAAGACAAATTATTCATCATCATCCAAGCCTTATCCCAAGTTCCCAACTATATGGGGTCAGTTGCATGAATCCTGTTTCACCAGTCCATTCTGTTTAATGCCATATTCATTGTTATTTTTTTATCAGCAACAAAGAAAGGAATTCATTCATTAAAAAATTAAAAGAGTTACAACAAGAAATTACGATAACAAAATAAAGAGCATAGACACTACAATCTCACCCCACCCACCCACCTTTTTTACATTTGAGCTGCTAAGTGTTCAGACCCACTTTTCTTCATGAGATGTTTTTTTCCATACAATGGTTGTCCTTTGATGGGAATCCTAAGTCTTTTTAAGTGCAACTCCTTTTGATGTTTGTTTAGGGTTTTGGAGGGAAAGGAGTTGAAGAATTTTTCATGGGAAAGATTTACCTTCCAGGAGATTTTGTGCAGACATTGGATCTCTCATTTTAAACAGGGTATTGGTTCTACCTGATGCTGAAGATGTTGTTAGAACATCTTTTGGTAGCGGGCTTTGCAATGCCCTGGATATTATTTAGGGTGATTTGTAATCTCTTTATTGTATCTTTGCTTTGCTTTGGGAGACGCTTTTAATTTTTTGTACGAGTGTTACACTTTACAATATTTTTCCCGCTCTAATAATTTTTCTCTCAATTTACCATGTGAGAGGTGAATGCCACCTAAGTTAAAAGGAAAATTCTATAAAATACTTATAAGGCCAGCTATGTTGTATGTTAATTGAAAAAAATAGCAATTCTCCTTATTAATAACATTAAAATTTCCTCTAAGAATGTGGCAAATCATCACATCAAAAAAATAAAAATCTTACATATATTAATTTCATTATTTTCAAAAATAATACTATAATAAGTATTTAAGAGAGCAAATTCATATTAATTAGCAGCTAAAGAAGGTTATGAACTTTATATGATAAATATTCAAGATGGAAAGTAAAATAGAAAAAAAAAAACAAGGATGGAGTTTCTTTTTATTTAATTAGAGAGAGAGAATAGAAAAAATGCACTTTATTATTCTATTCTTTCTTTCCTCTTTCTTTTCTTTCTTTCTTTCTTTGTTTCTTTCTTTTTCTCTTCTCAAAATCCTTTGATCTTTTAAATTTCAATAGTAAAACATTAAAACAAAGAATAATTGATATATATAGCATATAATAAAATGTATTAACACATACATTAATAAGACACAGCAATATAAATGATATTATAAAAGGCGGCCGCCTTGTCATTTTTGTCGCCTAGGCGGGTGCCTAGTTGCTAAAAGTCAAGGCGTTTGGGCAAGGCACACAGCCAAGGGTGCCTAGTCACCTAGGTGACGCCTAGACAACTATGTTCCCCAGGACACATCACCTCTTTAGCCACCATTTACAGCTTTTCAAAGATATTTTGGATATTGGATGCTTCAAATTTTTTAAATTAAAAATAATCTCAGAACAGTTACTTAGTTTGAGCATTGACAGGGGCTATCTAATTGGAACTTGACCCAAATTTAGCAGGTTCAGAAAAGAACATGTAGAGTCATTCTTGGGCTGGTATTCTGGTATCTCTAGTGTATATATGTTTGTCATTGTCAGCATGGATCTGTCAAATTCTATCAAAGATCTTTGCCAAAGATATACGTATACACAAGTGAATCCATTTAAAAAGTGAACAACCTTTGCAAGATCAAATGATTACCTGTACAGGAACATAAACAGAAGAAAAAACGGCAACTTTCAGTATCTCCAAAACAGAAGTGCCACCTTCCCTGAGAAGCTGAAAATCCAATAGATAGATAACTAAAATCAACAAATAAACAAGATTTATTGAAATGATACATAACTAGTAGCCAGAGAAACTATAATAACAAAAAATTAGGTACATGAATTTCACTGAAATCCATTTGAACATCGAAGTGTGTGCTCTCCCCCATGTCTTCATTGGACTGTGACTTGCTGCTTCTAAGGTGAATGCCCATGATGTTATTCTCTATAACAAGATCATGCCCACGGTGCACAAATCTCATATCCAGTTTTGGCAAGTTGAAGCTAACCTTCCAGAGAAAAATATTTTTTGTCAATTAATTGCTTAAAAAAGGTGAAAAAACTTCTCATACTTGTATAATGTTTAACTTCACAATCAATAACAACTTCAATGACGGACCAAACCAGGTAAAACAAGGAAAAGAATGTAAATTGCTGACAATATATGAAAATTACTGTCACCTCCATCCAGATCTACCTTTGTCCTTTGCACATTTGGAAGTAAAATAATTAAAACAGAGAAATACCACTGCAACTACCTTTTTTATCAGGAAGAAATAAATTTATTAATATATGAAAAAAAATATTTACAAGTAAAGAGGATTAAATTTCATGTACATACAAAACCAAAGTAAGAGCGAGACAATAGGTGCAAAATATAAAATATCAATGCTTCACATCTTGACAAAGTCTCTGTCGAATCTACTGCCTTGTGCCCTTAAATTCTTTTAACACCAATACCAAATTCATGATCTATGAACAAGTATCTCTAAATAGTTAAAAAAAAGTGGCCTCAAGGTGCCTTTCTACACTCTTTTATTCCTCGTTTCCAAACAGAGTTTTTAGAAGTAAGGGACGTACATCTCCACCCAAGGCCTTAACAAAATGCCCTAAGGCATATTGACAGCCAAAAGTGTACGCTTTGCATGATGATGCATACACTTTTTAATTTTTATACACATTATACAGGGTGCATGCATCTCATTTGATGCCCAACATTTTTTTTATAAAATAAATGTGAAGCACCAATTTACCATGTTCCTGTAATACACTACCATACTCCATGCTTCTTGACCATAAACATACTCATTTTTTGGACATCTTTCTTGACTGGCCAACACTCTGCTTCATACAACATTGCTGACCATATGTCTTCTCTATGATACTCTCCCAAAATAACTGTATCATCAATAAATTATGAATGAGAGACTACCTTCCCCTATCTTCCTATGATGAATCCTCTGAAAATAAATGGAAGGCATTAAAAGATCAAAGGAGTTGAATATTAAAAAGCTAATTGTTGAGGGAGATTCTAAACTTCTTATAGGCTGGCTACTAAAGGAGGAAAATGAGATATGGAAATTTGCTAATGAAAAAATGGTGTACAGATGGCTGACCAGGGACATGGAAGTAAGGCTCCGATGGGTAAAGAGGACTGCTAATTCCTTTGCAGATACACTTGCAAAACAAGGGGTGGGAAGGGGAAATTTATATTGGCCTTTGTTGTAACTGATTTCTGTCTAAGGGTGAGTTAAGAGTGTTTACCTCACCCTATGTACCTTATTGTATCTGTTTTATAATCTTAATGAATTTACCAGTTATTGATCTAAAAAATATTTCTCCGTCATTGAATCCACAACAGTCTACAAGATTTTTTTTTTTGATAAATAACTTAAATTTTATTAACAAACTTAATGTAACATCTTTATAAGCACCCCTTAGAGAGGCACAAGATGCTACCTCTCAAACAATAAAACAAATTACAATTGCCCAGAATAAAACAACCCACCCCATTTGCTCTCCTCACCCATTGTATCCTCAAATTCATATTCCTAGTAAAACATTTAAATTTTTCCATTTCACTCCTGTAGCACCAAATTATGGATTCTGGTCTTTAACCACTCCACCACCACTTTTGAATCCCCTTCAATCACCACATTGCCAAGTTTAGCTCACTGGCGATCTGCACCCCTTGTATCGCAGCAAGCAGTTCCGCTTTTAAGGAGTCACCCGTACCCGCAACGGCAGAAAAGAGTGCTATAAGTTTACCTTCTCCATCTCTCAAAACTCCTTCGATTCCAGAAGGGCCTGGATTACCTCAGCTACTTCCACCAAAGTTCAGTTTAACAAAACCTTCAATTGGTGGTACCCAAACAACCTCCACTCTGTCCTCTCTATTAGAACTTTTAGCAATTGCTTCCCAAATGGTCCAAATCAAAGCTGCTCTGACACCTCTCCATATTATCCTTCTCCTCTTCTTTGGCCAAGTAAACAAAGAAGGATCAAATAGCATATTAACCTCCGTTGGTAGAGTCCACTTGCACCCAAACAAAGAAAAAAACCAAAGCCAAATAGCTAATGAAATGAAGAAAGTGAGGCAGAACACAATGAATAGCTTTCCACGGCGAGGCCGGAGTAGCTCTGGTAGATACACCTATATACCAACCATTTCCCAACCTTCCATGTTTGTTGGCTATTGCTTCATGCCACAATCTATCCCTTTCCATCAGCCACCTCCAAAGCCATTTCCCTAGCAAAGCCTTGTCCTTTCAATCCACACTTCCAAATTTCCAATACCCAAACCTCCCTCTTGGAAATTCCAAATTTCCAATAACCCACAAAAAATCCCTCAAAACCTTCTTAGTTTTCTTGGCTACCTTTTGAGGGATTCTAAAAACTGACAGGAAATAAATTGGCAAATTAGCAAGTGTTGATTTAATCAGGATAATCCTTCCTACCAAAGATACATAATTTCTCTTCCAAGCTGCCAATTTCCTTGCACATCTCTCCACTATTGGGTTCCAGAATCCGCTCTCTTTACCAATAGGACACTCTAAAATATTTGCAGCACAGTTCAATTCCTCTTTCTCCAAGTTGATTCCTACTATATAGCTCTTATCAAGATTGATTTTTAGATTAGAGATAAGCTCAAACTTCTTCACCAAACTCCTTCAAATTCCTTACCAATTTTTGCTCTCCACCCTCACAAAAAATTATATATATATATATATATATATATATATAATCAGCAAATTGTAGATGAGTAATTGGGACCCTATTCCTTCCGATCTTCCATCCTTTTATTACATTCTCCCTATCAGCCTTTAAGATCATCTACTAAACATATCCGCTACTAGGGTGAAGAGAAAGGGTGAGAGAGAATCACCTTGCCTTAAGCCCTTAATCCCCGACAAGTTTGAAAGAAGTCTCTAACAATCCCGTTGACTAAAATAGAATAGTGGCAAGACTTAATACAACCAAAGATCCATTTGCGGTTTTGCACCATCTCTTTTTTTTTATTTTGATCAATAACAGATTCATTCAATTCATTGAAGTATCAAACTATTTACAGCAAGGAAGACAAAAACTCATATCTTTTGAGTACAACTTAAACCCTCCAAAGAGAGAAACAAGGAAACAAAAGAAACAATTAAGTTACAGCTTAGCCCAAAACATTGCTTCCCTTTCTATCCCTTGTTTAGCTAATCCATCCGCCAAAGAGTTAGCTGACCTCTTAACCCAACACATCCTGATTTCCATCTCCCACACCAGCCACCTGAATTTCCTCTTTTCATTTCTGTAATTCCATAAACCGCAGTTGTCTTTAATCAGCCACCCTATCACCACCTCTGAGTCCCCTTCACTTTTGAGTTTCCTGACATTCAACTCCTTGGCTTTCTGAACTCCTTCCATAACTGCCAAGATCTCAGCTCTAAGGGAATCCCCCTCACCAATTGGGCCTGAGAACAGGGCAGAAATGACCACATTCTCATCCCTAAAAACACCTCCAATCCCTGATTGTCCTGGGTTCCCCCTACAACTCCCATCAAAATTTAACTTTAAGAAGCCAGCAGGTGGGGGAGTCCAAGACACCCTTATTACTGATTTGATCTGAGTGCAATTTGCAATCTCACCCCACTTTCTCAGCATGTCTTCTACTGTGTAGTCTGTAAATAGCTCTAGTGATTTCAGCCACTGTACTGCCCTTATGTGGATCACAGCCTTCACATCTTCAGCTCCTCTCCCATTTTCTGAGAAGATCCTAGTATTTCTTTCTTCTCATAATGTCCAGCATACTGCAGCCCTCAGACCTCTCCACATAGTCCTTCCCCTTTTCATGTGCCACCTAAAGAAGGAAAGGGAAAAAAGGCTCTGCAGGTCTGATGGAGGGTTCCACCTAAGTTTTGCACCATCTCTCCCCAAACCCATGATTTTTTATCACCCCAATAAGGAAGGTCCAGTCCACTAGATCATAAACTTCCTCCATGTCCAACTTACACACAAAGCCTTTCCTCCTCAATCTTTTCAAATCCTCCACAAATTCATTAGCAACTAGAATTTGATCAGCTATCTGCCTCCCCTAAATGAAAGCCCCATGATTTTGACTGATTAAAGATGGGAGAACTAATTTTAATCTCAACGAGAGAACCTTGGTTAAGATCTTGTAAATGCTAGTTACAAAATTGATTGGTCTAAAGTCCTTTCGATGACTAGCATCATTCTTCTTCGGAATAAGAGCTAGAAAGGTTGCATTCACCCCTGGGCTAACTCTATGCTTCTCTGCAAATTCAATGAAGACCTCAAACAATTCATCTTTCACAATTTCCCAACAATCCTGGTAAAAGAAACATTGTAAAACCGCCTGGTCCAGGGGCTTTGGATCTAACCACTAAAAATACTGCCTTCCGAATTTCCTCTTCATCAAAATCCCTTGCCAACCAATTTGCTAACTCATTCTCCACACAAGGCCACTCAAATCCCTCCACACTCATTCTCTCATTCAAGGACCACCTACAAATTGATTAGAAATGGTCCACAAAAAACTTAGCAGTTTCATCCTAATTGGTTATCTCCTGCCTTCTATCTCCAAGCTAGACACAATTTTTTCTCCTCCCATTTGCCAAGGCATGAAAGCATTTTTTATTACCATAGCCTTCTTTTGTTCACTTGTATCTGGACTTTTGTCTCCAATAAATCTCTTCCCTTAAAAGAACTTCTTCCAACTCTTTCTTAACCCTACATCTTAACATTCTTTCCTCCGCAATTAGAGTCACCTAGGCTTCTTTCTCATCTAAACGCCTCTAATTTAAGGGATTCAGATTTAAATAGCAGTTTGTCACTTTTGGGTATCCATGAAGGGGTTTACTTGGATCCTACAAATCCTGATTGCAGGATTTGGTCTCTTTCACCCTCTGGGTAGTTTTCTTATGCTTCCTTTTTTAAAGCCTTAACTCAACAAAACTCTCCCCTTGGGTTGTCTTTCATTGTTAAGGAAGTATGGTGTAATCCTATTCCTCCTAGCGTTGGGTGTTTTTGTTGGTAAGCTTTTCTGGAATGAATCAATACTTGTGACTTGCTTAAAAAGAAGACCTAAAAGTTTCATGTCTCCTCATTGGCGTGTTATGTGCAAAGCTAATGGTGAGAATGGCTATCACTTATTAATTTCTTGTCATTTTGGTAAATGTATTTGGGATTGGATCGATTCCTTTTTTTGGTTGTAGTTGGATTCCCCCGTCGAATGTGCAAAGTCTGTTTACTTCTTCTTTTTTCAGGTAGCCAGTGAAAATGGGGAGAATTATGTGGAGAAGTATAAGGGCTGCAGCATGTTGGACGATCTAGGAAGAAAGAAATTTGAGAATTTTTGCTGGTAAGGAAAGAAGGGTACAGTCCACCTTGGAGGTGATTCACATCAGAGTAGAGAATTGGCTTAAGTCTTTTGAGTTGTTTAATGACTTCTCAATTGATGATTTGCTAAGGAAATGGAAGGAAGTTGCAAAGTCTACTCCACCTATTGTTTCTTCTATACATGTTTGGGTCCCTCCTAGTGGGTTTATTAAATTGAACTTTGATGGGAGTAGTGTGGGGAACCCAGCGCCCTTGGGTATTGGGGGAGTCTTAAGGAATGGAGATGGGAATGTGATCGCTCATTTCTCTAGTCCGATAGATCAGGGTGACTATTCAAGCTGAGATTATGGCAGTTGTGGAAGGTGTACAAAAGGCCAAGGATTTGAGCATTAAGAAACTTGTCATAGAGGGAGACTCTGAGTTAGTGGTGGGCTGGTTGAAGGAAGGGAAATCTCGTGTTTGGCATTACAGCAATGAAAAGATGAAATTTAAATGGTTAACTAGGGATATTGAAGTCAAGCTGAATTGGGTCAAAAGAAGTGCAAATTCCTTCGTGGATGGGTTAGCTAAGCAAATTCCTTTGTGAATTGGGTCAAAAGAAGTGCAAATCCCTTAGAGAGTCTTTAAACCAATCAGTCCTGAAAATAAAGCTGCTATATAATCATCTTCGTTCCTGAAAGTACCTCCCATTCCTGATGGCACTAGATTTCCCATGCTACTTCCATCAAAATTAAGTTCTATGAACCCCTTTTTCTAGGGGAGTCCAACTTTGGCACATCAAAGTCTTTTTTGAGTAGGAAGTCCCAACCACTTCCTTTCATTTTCTGATCATGTCATCAATTATGGACAATCAAGATTGATATGAAATCAGATCTCAATAGGGTAAGTGAAAAACAACTAAAGCTAAATAGGAGATTGGGGCTTTTCTTTTTAGGTGGTGGAGAGTTTGCAAGGAAAGCTTTCTTCAAGTTAGAAAAGAAGGGGAAATCATAAATTTACAAGTTCAGATTTTAATGAGATTGAGGAGGTTGTGGATTCATAAGAAGTGGTGTAGAGATCAGAATGATATATAAGGGTGGTCGTTGATGTTGAAGGATGTGTGCATCCAAGGCTGTATAAGTTTTTATTCTGAATTATGCATTAAAGATGGAGTCTTTTGCTTTATAAAATTGCAAGGTGTATAGAAAACAAGTAGTAAATTCTTGGCATGTTAACTGGGTGAGGAAAAGGATTTCGTTGGGGTGGTGATTTTGGTATTTTAGTTGTTTTTTAGATAAATGGAATCATAGTTGATTTAATAGGAGTGAAGTGTTCGTGGAGGGGAGTTCTGTTAGGTGCTCTTGGATCTCACTGCTTTAGCGATATTTGGTTACCTAATGTTGTATTTGCAATTTCCTTTTTCGTTTGGATAGTTTATTTGCAATTTTATTCTTTTAATAATTTTTTATAGTTTATTTTCAATAGAGTTACATCAAAAAGAGTGCAGACAATTCAACAGAAAATGTTACAATAAAGCCCAAAAAAGCTGTTGCCTTTGAACTCCCTGTTTAGCTAGAGAGTCAGCCATTCCATTTGCAGGTCTCCTCACCCATGTGAATGAAGCACTAAATTCCCTTGCTATGCTTACTATCTCCCTTAATGGATGTCTTTAGTTTCAAGGAACATTACTGCTTGAATTGGTCCAAGATATCACTGTTTTGAGTCCCCTTCCATCTCCAAGTTCTTAAGATCAGCTTGCTTGGCAATCATTAGCCCTTGCAGCAGGGCTAACAATTCAGCTTTTAAGGAGTCTCTTCCCCTAAAGGTCCTGAGTACAAAGCCAACACTTTGCTTGAGGAATCTCTGATTACACCACCAATGCCTGCCATAGCCAGGTTTCCTATAGAGCTCCCATCAAAGTTCAGCTTTAACTTGTGGGGTCCCGGGGGCTTCCATTCCATCACTTTTCTTTCCTTCTTCTCAGCAATGTGTGCCACTTCATTCTAGGCTCTTACAATATCAGTAATTGAGATATTTTGAAAGAGCTGGAGTGATTTTACCCAATGAGCAACTTTTATCTTTATGGCCTCCACAAAAGCCTCTTTTGGCCTATGCTTCTCATTGAAGATTCTTGCATTCCTTTCCTCCCATAGCCAGGTTTCCTATAGAGCTCCCATCAAAGTTCAGCTTTAACTTGTTGGGGCCCGGGGGCTTCCATTCCATCACTTTTCTTTCCTTCTTCTCAGCAATGTGTGCCACTTCATTCTAGGCTCTTACAATATCAGTAATTGAGATATTTTGAAAGAGCTGGAGTGATTTTACCCAATGAGCAACTTTTATCTTTATGGCCTCCACAATAGCCTCTTCTGGCCTATGCTTCTCATTGAAGATTCTTGCATTCCTTTCCTCCCATATTGTCCACACCATCGCGCTGCCTTTGCTGATTTCCACATAACAATAATTTTTGTATTTATTATAAAAAAGAGAACACTTCTACCAATTATCTGTTGAACAATTCAGGTCAGAGTTCCTCAGCCACATGCTCTCAAAACTGCAAGGATGGAACTTCTGATCAATTTAGAAAAACTAAACAGAAAGGATTATTATTTAAGAAAGCTTAAGGGTGTATATAAATGCTATAAACAACTAAATCAAAATAATAATTATAAAACTAACCAAAAAGCAAGATTCAAAGATCTGAGACATAAGAAAAACATGACAGGAAAGACAAGAAGTCCGTACCATGCCTCCAAAGTTCAACATTAAAGCCTACTAACCTTTTCAGGAAACACAGGAGTGTACTTTTTAAGTGATAGAAGAGCATTTTGTTTTTTCTGTGAATTCTTAGCTGGCACAGAGTCCAAAGTGGATTCTCCAGCCATGTCTTCCTGAAGAAAGGTTTCTGGCGGAGTCTTGTTTTTAAAAAGCAACTCCTCATTTAGGTTCACAAGGACTTCTCCACTAATGATATCCACATTTTTTACAATGACACCAACATCCCTGTGGTCAAAAAGTAAATAGAGTACTGTTAGTCCACACCAATATCCAATTTTTAATAAAATGTTGTTTGTTAATTATTAGTATCAAAAAAATATCTTCACCATCATCATCAAGCCTTATCCCAACTATATGGGATCAGCTACATGAATCCTGTTTCACCATTCTGTTATGTTTACCATTTTTGTAGAATACAAAATATAAAACGTTCACCACAAAAGAACCATTTATTTAACATACCATTTTTATCGGTAATGATTAAAAACTTTTATTGAAGTATGTAAAGAAACAGTATACATATAATACGGCTGCAACGTGGGCAGGCTAGGGCTGAGCAGCTGTTAAAATATGCCTGAGCGGCCAAAACCAATGTTGTGTAAATTCTTCAACAGGTACTCAACTTGCACCCCTATTTGCTAATGTTGTTCATTCATTCATCCTAATAAAAGACATTTTTAAAAGACAATTAAAATTATAAAATTATTTTTTAGGGTAAGAAGTTAAGACCCTAATATGGACTTGGTACAAAGGCAGCTCGTAGAATCAGGAAAGCAAAATATTTAACATCACATTAATTATTTGAAGTAATGCAATTGGAAAATAAATAAATAAAGAGATTGAGAGTTCTGTGTGCTTGAATATGTATTATATGTTACATTTTATTTTATTTTTGTAGAGAAGATGGGTCGAATGGCCCATAACCCACAGCTTATGTTTATGTTTTCTGTTATGTTTAATTTTATGTTTATGTCTTGTTCTGTTAATGGGCCTTCTCTTTACTGCTCAGCATGGCATAAGCCTAAGACAAGGATACATTATCCTTAGCTAGGATATTCTGTCTAGTAATATCGAACTTTGGAGTCAACCCCATCAGGAATTCAAAAACCCTATTCCTCTCAACTAATTTCCTGTATGTCTCAGCATCATCTGTACTTTCCCAGACAATTGTTTCCATGAGATCAATCTCTTGCCACAAGGATTTCAGCATTGAGAAGTATACTGCAAAAGGTCTCTCCCCCTGCCTTAGATTATTCACATCACTTCTTAGCTTATATGCCCTAGCCACATTAAGTTTTTGTGAATAGGGTTCAGCAACACTATCCCAAATTTCCTTAGCTGAATTCATCCACAAAAAGTGCTGACTAATTTGTGGTTGCATCGAATTCACTAACCACCCAATAACAGTGTAATTCTCTTGCAACCATTTCTCATACGATAGCTCATCTTCCTAAGGTGCTTTCTTACTCCTGGAAATGTATCCCCAGATGCCTCTACTATAAACATGTATCTTTACTGATTGTGACCATGCTAGATAGTTAGTCCCATCAAGCTTGACTGTGGTCATAGCCAATAAAGAATCGCCAGGTGCTCCCAGAACATGTCTGGAATCTGGACTCTTAGCCCAACTTGTTCTCCATTCGAAAGACATCCATTTTCATCAAAAACAACTTCAAATGGCAAATAATGAAGACAGAAAAAAAATAGACACCAAGTACCAACCTTTACGAAACCCTAGCCGCCAGCTACGTCTCATCCGAAACCCAGGAGAAATAGGAAAACTGCAGCCGCTCCCTGTAGGATTCACTGAACTGTACTAGGTATGGATCGACCTTCAAGAAAATGAAAGGGGCCCCCTTCAGTCACTGGGTGCCAAGGTGAAGCTCCCTGTGGGGCCCGCAATCAGAACTCTCCAGTTGATTAAAGTTTTGGGCAAAAAACTCCAAAGACTGTCAGAATAATGAACTAGACATCTTCCTTTTCTCCAAAAAACCACCACCAACTGGGCCGAATAATTTCTTCAATCACTCATTCGATTCAGCTCTCCATACACACTGTATGGGAAAAAAAAGGAAAAAAGGAGAAAGGAAGAAAAAGGAACCTGCTCTGATACCGAGAAGAAAAACAGTCCTAAAAGAATGAGAGGACTGATTAAAGAATTGTGAAATTCGAAAAAGAGAGAGAGAGAGAGAGAGAGAGAGAGAGAGAGAGAGAAAACAGCAAGAAGTAGAAGAAGAAAAAGAAGAAGTTGGATGTGAGAAGGGTTTAGAGAGATGAGTTGTTCATACAGCTCTCTCCTTTCCCTAATCTATTTCATTAACTTAATCACTAACTTTAAGTAATTTACAAGTTAGCCCTTAGTTGGGCGGCAGCTAATTACATAAACATAAACTAATGTTAACAGGCCCATTGACAGAATAAGACATAAACATAAAATTAAACATAACAGAAAACATAAACATAAGCTGTGGGTTATGGACCATTCGGCCCATCTTCTCTACATGGGCCTGTTAACAGAATAAGACATAAACATAAAATTAAACATAACAGAAAACATAAACATAAGCTGTGGGTTATGAGCCACTCGGCCCATCTTCTCTACAATTTTTAAATTTTCATTTTGAATATGTTTTACATGTTATATTTATGTATTTTAATTTGAGATAATACATTTTTAAAACATTTATTTTAAATTTTAAGTTTATATCTTTAATTAATATTAAGTTTAATATTTAAAATTTTTAAAATTTATTTTTTTGAATGTTTTGGCATTTTTTTGCATTTTTGTTCCTTGCTTCAAAAAGGTGTGCACCTCGCCTTGCACCTTGCACTTTTAAAACACTAGTAAGTGAATCGGTTTCCTCCACAGAGAAGCTTAGGGTCACTTATTTTATAATAATATGACCAGGGATGAGGGTGCATCTCATGCTGTGGATTCCACCAAGCTTGTTGTTAAGCTAGTTGCCATATATGCTTCTGGACAATGCTATCCAGCAAGAAAGCCAGTAACTAAGGGTGTCAACAAAATTCCAAAATGCTACCATATCCCTCTACATAATGTGTTTGGACACCTCAACAACCAATGCTATTCATAAAAGGTGGAATGAGTTGACCTGCAAGCTCTGCAAGCAGATCACAAATGCTAGCCATGAGAACAAGGCTGCTTCAAAGGGAGAAGGGATGTTACATGCTAAATTTCCTGAAGCCAGCACAGAGATGCAGCATCCACTCCAGCCAATGACATGGCTACCCTCACATCAACAACCTGAGTCATTTCTCGGACAAGAGCTGCTAACAGTCCGTTGACAGGGCAATCATTAGAAATCATGCCATTTTGATCACCTATGTAATCATTGCCGATCATCCTTCATGATTAGTTGTGATGGCCATGAGCCTATAAATACATATGATATATCAATAAAGATCATCGATGATAAAACCATCTTCTCTTCTTTGGCATCCTTGTGATTGCTAAAATCCCTCTATGAGTGGTGCTCTGACCCTATAGCTCAAGGAATGATACAACCAACCTCTTGGCAACGGGAAAAGGTTCCTATCATTCTACTTCCCCCTCGCCATAGCCATCGACACCGAACCATTGCAAAAGTTTTATTATTGATGTAGAAAGAGGCTTTCCCTTCTTCAATCATGCAAAATCAAGGGGTATTTGTCCAAGATAGGCAGATTATACACCAAAAGACTAATTGCAAATTAATATCTTGAAGAACTGACAAAGTCTTGTCACAAATGTTGGCTGTGTAAGTTATACTTGGAAAAGGCTTACAATCATATGGGCTAGTCCTTTTGTGTGGAAAGTTTTAGAAAGGTGCAGGTTTTGGGCTAGATGGAGGCTTTGGATTAGATGATGTCTTCAAACTGTTCACTATTCAGTTTTAGTTAATGGGGTAGTATAAGATTTTTTCCCAACAAGGGGGTTGAGGCACAGAGTCTACTATCCCCCCTTCCTCTTTTCCCTTGCTATGGATGTTTTCAGTTGGTTAAAACTTAAGGGAATAGGAAGGCAAAAATTGCATGGAGCTGTGTTCCCTTTGCTATTTGTTGCGAAATCTGGAAGAGAGAAGAATTTTTTTGAGACCAGTCAAAGTGCAGGGATCAACTTATATTATCCAATGGGAAAAGAATTATGGAATGGATTTTAATCTTACCAGAAAATGAGGGGGCGTCCAAGGATTCTCATGGGAATGGATTGAGGATATCATTGCCACTCATGAATGATAGATTCATTTCTTGCTCGTGCTCTTCTTCAACTTCGTCATTTTACGATTTTTTTTCATTTTGTATGTTTATTTGTACTTTTTGTAATATTTCCTTGTTTCCTATAATTTTTGTTTTTATTTTCTATGTTTATTTATAACTTTTGTCATATTTTCTTGTAATTTTTGTTTTTTTTTTTGTTTTCTATGCTTTTTATAGTTTTCTGTAATTTATGTATAATTTTATGTAATTCATGTTATATTTTTATGTAATTTATGCATGTAGGATTAATAGTTTGGGCAGGTTGGATTTGGTTAAGGCAGTTTTGGGTTGAACCCAACCCATTTAAATTTTCCTAAATGGGTCATTAATGGATTAGCGGGTCCGACAGGTTAGGTTGAAGCTCAACCCAACCAAACCTGTCCAATTGTCACACCTAGGTGTGAGATGCGACCTCTCTTCATAAAAAGAAAAGGTGATTTACAAATGATCCCTAGTCACTCACCCCTTAGATACTTCTTGTCTGTGATTCGCAAATGACAAAAATGTGTTTTGAGAAGATAAAGGGAAGAGAGGGTGAAGAACATGCAACTTTTAGTAAAATGCTTTGAGAAATTGCCAAGTCTATAGGAATTACATAGTAGGTGTCAATTTGGGGGTGACAAAAGTAGAAAGGTATGCAATGGATTTGAGAGGAGTCAACATCGACTCAAGAAGATCCTGAATGTGGCACAACCATGCATGAAACAAAAGGACAGACATAAATGTAGTCATAGAAAAAGAGGTTCAAAATGATAAAAATTTGGGCTTACTTTTTTCTAGCAGGAGAAGAATATACAAGAAAAGCATTTATGGATAGAAAAAGAAACAGGTAGAGCTGAATCAATATAAAATGCTGGAAACAGTACGAATGAAGTTTTACTATGGGGCATAGGGAATTTGGAGGTTCAGTAAGATACTAAGATTTGGTTGGTTATTACTTGTTAGAGACGTAGGAGATTATTAAATGGAGAGAGGACAAGATTCTGAAAGAAAAGTTGGTTCAAGTAGTTATAGGCACTCTCAGAGATAGAAGTGAATTGTTGTTGAGAATGGGGTGGAAGATTTATTAGTGGCTGAAATGGGTATGTGTGTGTTCCTTTCTTTGTGGTGTCAACTCCTGGTCATAGTCTTCTTTCCATGTACTTTCAGGATTATTGGAGATGATTGTGTAGGACTTTGCTTATGTCGGGGTACGAAGTGGTGTGTATTTTTTCTGTCTTTGGTGATATCTTATAACCAGACTATTGTAATTTCTTTTTCATTTTATTGAAATTATCCATTACTACATGAAAATGTTGGAACTCCAGAGAGTTTTTTTTTATGAATAAAAAGATATATATTTTTTTGTTTGGTAAATTGGAACTCCAGAGAGTTACTGCTCAACAACATCCAAGGATGAGATACATCCCCAGTCCTACTCAGTAAAACAGCTAAGGTTATATTCAAATCACAACTGAAAATGATACAAAGAATAACCAAGTTTTCTTTAAACTAAACTCACCTATAATGACCAAATTCACAAGAAAGTGATAATTCCTCGCAGATAAAAGGTACAGAGGCCCTTTCTGTAGTAGTAAGGGATATTTGACCAGCAGAAAAACATCCCCCTTGGTTAAAAACAAATGATTGATCATAGCTAAGCCGTGGTTCTCCAATGTGCACAAGAACCGGTAGAAAGTGCAGCTTGACAAACAGAGTTGGCTTGGATCCACCATCTTTAGATATGTCCACTCTCAGATCTTTAACTTCAATAGCAGTTTTTGGTGTCTGTAATATTCAAATACATTATTATAAAAAAAAATGGCTATTACAAGTCTCTTAGAGTGGGTAAATGATACAAATGAGATATAGGCATGCAACTAAACTAAACTAAACTTAGTAAGTATTTGTAAGAAAGTGACAACAAAAACTCAAGTTTCATATAGTTAATCAAAATCTTTTTTGTATCAGCAAAAGAATTTCATTCCTTATTAAATCAGAAGCTTAGTACAATTGTTATAGCAATTCACCAGCCCATAATACATCAGGTTTTGCCCAAAAATAAAAGAGGTCTATCAGCTCCTTGTTTTGCTAAAACACCCACCATCCCATTTGCAGATCTTCTTACCCAACTGAATTTAGAATTAAACCTCTTTGCTTGGTCCATGAAATGACTGTTGGAATATTAACTTTATTTATTATGTTTGTATTCTACTGAGTTAGGGTCCGTTTGGACAAATTAAAGCAGTTTTTTCTTTTGTTTTTTATGCAATAACTTAAGTAAGGGCACAAGGGTCCTTTCCCTTCTAATTATGGTTGCCCTATATATATATTAATATAAGCTGGCGCCGCCAACACTGTAGCAGACTCCAAATCTCTCTCTTCTCTCTTCTCTCCTCTCTTCCTCTTTTCTCCTACCTCTCTTCTCCTCTGTTCGGCTGTTAATATGGTATCAGAGCGGTTCTGCTAGGCCTGTGAGCAGATCGAACAAGCTTCAACCTGCTGTCTTCTTCAACTGATATCAAAAAAGTGCAGACCTACGACTGGTACAGATTTTTTTGTGTGTGTTTTTTTCCTTTTCCTTGGTCGTGTACCAAGAAGAAACTATATGACTCCAGACTGCTGAATGTTTTCTGAGAAGCTGTGAGGTTCAAAAATCTTTTTTTTATGGATCGTGTGATCCCATGTCTGAGAATTCAGATCTGTAGGTCGTGGATGACCTGATCTTTTAACCCTTGTGGCGTAACCATACTGGTTTATGACCCCTCCAAGCAGTCGATGTGTTTGGGGTGTCTGGAAGTTCGTGGAGTGTGACTGCTAGGTCAGATCAGCTCTGAGATCACCATAAAATCTTGCCTTTTTTGGACAATCTAGGCTGGTTTGTGGTCAGATTGTGTCCAGATTGCAGTGTGTGCATGTGGGCTTCATCCTTGGTGTTTCTAGGACTGTTTGTTTCGTGATATGAGGGATCATAAAGTGTGTGTAAGGTCTGAAGGGTGTTTAAATCATGTCCTCTGAGAATTCTGCAACTTCAGGAATTTAAGGAGGTCAAAATGGAATGAGTGGGGGGATGGATATGAGTTTCCCCATGGCTGTAATCCCCTTTGATGGACTGAACTATCTTGAGTGGTCTAGGGGAATTAAACTTTATATTACTGCTAGAGGAAAAATTGGGTATATTAATGGTAAAATCAAGCAACCAAAGATTGGTAGTGCTGAACATGACAGATGGGACCAAGAAATACTTCACAACACAAATCTTGTCCTCTAGGAGGAATAGGTATGCATCAAATTTCTTTCACCAGGAAATTCACCCCCAAAGTTTTTGAAAGAACAAAAGGTTGAAAAAGGAAGCACAAGAGAAAAGCCGTCAAGGGAGGGAGACCAAATTCTAAGAGTTTTGATCCAAAAATACCTTTTCCAATTTAGACAGTAGGATAAGGGAATCACACTCATTATCCCTCAGACCCCTTTTGAATCCAAGACCCCAGTTCAAACCATGTTCTAAGGGCATACCAAACCTAGAAACAGGTTCAGCCTTGTAGTTTGACAATGAGTAGAGTACCAGAAATTCCAATTTAAGGGGCACGTCCCCAATCCAAAGATATTCCCAAAATAAGACTCTATTCCCACACCCCACATCAAAACAAACGAAATTGAAAAGTTGGTATTACCTCAATTATTGCTATCCAAGCAGAGCTTTATGAAGCATGAAGCACCAATTTTGCATCCTAGCCATTTTTCGCCATACCATGAATGCTTCCAATGACCCTGTGCCACATCCTTTCTCCTTCTAGAGGAAACCCCTGAAGCCATTTTCATAGAAGAGTTGCATTGCCCTTAATAAAAATCCCAATGTCTGGTCCATCTTGTTCCTTAGACTAGCACAATACCAAGTGATCTTTCTTTTCATCTACTGGTCCCCACAAGAAATCTCTCGTTATTATTTCTAACTGCCTTGCTATTTTAACCAGAATTCTAAAGGTAGACAAGAAATAAGTAGGCAGATTGGCCAGGGAGCATTTGACCAAACTGATTCCTCCTCCCATAAAATGTTGCTCCTTTTCCACATTGCTATCTTTTCAGCAAATCTTTCTACAACGGTGTGAACTCCGGGAAGCTCATGGGCCGGCTCAAAGAAATGGAGTCACCACCCATTTTTCAAAGGAAATGGGCCCTCGTTTTCATATTCGAAAATCGATTCACTTGCATTGATAGTGACTTCGTTCTTCGCCAAGAAAAGCACCTAATCAAGAGATTTTGGATCCCAAGGATTGGGAGAGGAAGGTGTTAGGCACCCCTCTCTCCAAGCTACTATAGCAGCCCAATACGGGAATTGTTCAATCTCAACTTCTTACAAAACATAAATGAAAATGATTGCTTAGAGCTCCCAAAACCAAGAAAAAACGCTCCCAATTTCACCGAGAATTGATTTGAGACTATGTTATCGGGTCTTAGGTATTGATTTCCCTAAGACCCTCACCTCTCTACCTCTTTTTCTCAATCTGGAGGAAACTAGGAATGAAGGTTTCCCTTGGGTTTGGGACTTCAGGCAACCCATAACTAAACTAAAAACAGAGATTACAAAATCAAACTTAGAAAAACGGTGGAATGAGAGGCTTACCTCTCGTGTGCAACCTTGAGAAGAGTTTTCCAACAGCTAGAAAAGGTTCAAATGAAACTTGGACGAGCTGTTGAGTTGGGGGTGACTGATTCAAGTTTTAAATCTTCAATCTCAAAAACAAAGCAGATTTGAGGCTTGATCTTCAAGGACTTTGGGAAATGCTCTTTTTCTCCTCCCTTTCTAGATTTCTCCCCTCCTCTCCCTAGATTTCTCCCCCCTTTCAATCTCAAGTTGGATCATTATTTATAGAGAAAGAAAAGGGGGACAGTTCTGAAATTCGTCCAGCTAGAGGACTTGGGCTTCAAGAAAGCTTTTACAAGAGAATAGGCACGGATTTTTCAAAGAAAACAGTGTTGAGTGAAACTTTCCTCTTTGGTGAAAGATTTGCTACGATTTGGGGGTAGTTTTCACGGGTTTTGTGCATCCAATGGGAGCTTAGGGTGGGTCTGTCATGGCAGTCTCGTATTTGGGGCTATCAGTGGTAGAAAATGTAAATTTGATGAACTTCTAAATGTGGTTTTGTCTTTTCTCAGTTTTAAGTGGGAGTATCTTTGGGTTTTGGGGCTTTTGAGTCTATTAGAATTAATTTCATTGGTCCAGGTGTTTGAACAGGTCAAGAATGGGTCTAACATCAGCCATCACCCCTTTGAGGTTTCAGGTTAGGACAGATGAGGTGGTGATTCAATCTGGCAGTTAGTGCATCAAAATGGCATCTTCCTAGTTTAACAGCCAAACGAGCGAATCAAGTCATGAAATTTGACGTGATGGGGTTTTTTGGGTCTCTAAACATAGTGGTGAGGTTTCATTGGTCTAGTAGGGTCAAGATGACAACGATCTATGGCAGGCAAGTCCAGATCAACGAAATTTGCTGAAATAGAATCTTTGTTTGATGAAGGGTCAAAAGGGGGAAGTTTGGGATGAAATTTGATGGGTAGGCACTTTTGAACGTCTTGAGTCTAATGGAAGTGATGGATCTTTGATCAAAGGTGTAGATTGACATATTTAGTTTGGGTCAATGGTTTATCAGTTAACGAGACGGCCCAGAATGGAACCTCACTTTTTTTAATGGTCGAATGGAGGAGTTTGGTAGTGAAAGTTGACGTACTAGGGTTTTTTGAGTTTTTGGACATAGTGTTGAGGTATAATCGGTCAAATGAAGTTGGGGTGGTGGATGATAATCTCTAATCAATGAGATTTGCTTAAATAGGATATCGGCTTAATGGCGGGTCAAACGGAAGAATTTGGTAATGAAAATTGGTGGGTAGGCGCAGATTAAGGTGAGGAGTCAAGTGTATGGTTCTGATCTAGGTTTTCTAATTCTAGTTGTGTAGGGCCGTTAGAACAAAATATTGGCACTTTTGAGGTTGGTCGTTATAGACTTTCAATGGGATTGTATTCTAGTGATCTTGAGGCAATGGATGTGTTGGATCAGGGCCATTAGAAAGAAAATTGGCGTGATGAACTGTGGAAGTGTGACTAATTTATAGTTTCCTAAGTCTGTAGACCATATTTGATTGGACGTCAATGTTGATCTCGAGGTTTTCATTTGTCCTATGGATTGTGTCAAAAGAGGAAGTTTTGGCTTTGTAAATTCTCAATTTGATCTAGTTGTGATTCCAAGTTTTGGAGTCTAAAAGGAGGGTACGAAGAGGTAGGTTGAAGGGACCAAGCAAAAATTGGGTGCTGACAAACAGGTTTCCAAAAACTCCCTATTCTTGGGTAACCCCCCAAAGGCATAAACCTAGTTAATCAAAATCTTAACCTCTACAGAAAAATAGATTTCATATTTGTTCATCATCCCAATAGAATACTAAGCAATAGAATATTGAGCAATAAGCTAAGGATGTAGACTGTCTTATCTCCTGTGCCATGGGAAAAGTAGTGCCATGGAATGCAGGTGTGAAAGACTTCTAGCCTAGGGTATTTGGAACTCAGTTGAGGTCCAGAAGTGTATTTGAATTGTACTGCAAGTTGGGAGTTTGTTCTCAGTTTTTGCTCCTTTTTTGGGGCTTATTTGTATGGTTCTATTTCAATTAATAAATCTACCTTACCTTTTTTTCAAAAAAAACTGAGCAATAAGCAGAGACTACAGCAAAATACTCAGAAAGTCAAAATATGAGGAACCATGTTATGTCCCCCTCCCCCTCTATGCAATGATTACATAGGTTGATTGTTAAAGTTACATAATCCTATCTTAAAAGAATAAAACAACCAATAAAAATATCAAAACAATAAATATAAAAAGCAGTTTCTTTTATGTATAAGGCGCCCAACTAAGTTTCTGGGCTAGCGCCTAGTATATAAAACCAATGGCGTTTAGGCAAGGCGACTATGGGAAACCGTTTAGTCGCCTTGACAACTATGGCTACATTGTGTTCATTCTCAAGTTCTACTAACCATGTTAAGTACATAAGACATCTGATCAAGAAGGCAAGGATGTCAGCTTTCAAAGTGAACAGCACATCTAGGTAGATCAGCAGATGCGCTAGCCAGGAAAGGGGTGATGATGGTTGCTTTGTATTGGATGCTGATATTTTGGGTATTCTTATATTACTTGACCTTATTGTTGGTATTTGTCTTTGCTTTTCCTAAATATATGTTTGTCACTTTTTATCTTATTTTGATTAGGTGTTTTTAATAACCCAAAGAAAGGAAACCAACCTCAACTATGCACAAACGAAAAAGCACCCTCTATAGATTATCTATACCAATAACAAGTAAACCCAGCCAGCTACCAAAAAAATGATGTCCTAAAGAAGCTCAAACAATAGAACAAATAAATAAGAAAATACCAAAGATGAAGCTGAACAATTTGTGATGGCAGAAGAAGAAGGCCAGAAGGATTATCTGGAATTAAGGATGGAAAGAGCAGGGAAAAGGGATCAGGATAGGCAGGATGGTGGAGTGGATGAATGGAGTAAATTGGTAATACTGCAGAGGCTCAAAAACCATGAAAGTTGAATGTAAGACAAGTATATGAATAGGAAGAGATGGACGAAGATGGGGATTGATTCCTCATCCAATTGAGATCTTGTTCTCGGTAACAGGGAGTTTAGGCAGTGATGTGTGACACATTTGTGGAATTGTTGAAGAGGTGCAGATGGCTGTTTTTTATGCTCTTGGCATAGTTCACAATTCTTTAGGTGTTTTGCCCTGGGAACTTTTGTTATTAATTTATTAGGATTTTCTATGAATCGGCTTTATGCTTTTTATCATTAGTTAGTCGCATTTAATTAATTAGTAATACAGAATGGAAGAAATACAGTAATTGTGCCAAGAACCCCTAGTGCACCAGGCTAGCCCTTGCTAACTAGCCCATCAACTTTTTATATCTTTTATCATTGTTTACAATGAGGATTCAGGTTTACTGGAAATGACCGCCCCCCCCAAATAAAACTGATTTCTTTTTGCCCCTTGTTTGGCCAATGTATCCACCAAACTGTTAGGAGATCTGTGGGACCAAATGAATGGCGTATAGCAGCTTTATGTTTAGGTTGTTAGCATTGGTGTGTTTGCATTGGAGAGACAAGTTGTAAAGGAGTTTGCAACTGGTATACAATGTTTCAGAGTCCCAGGATGCTTGCCCTAGAGAGTAACTCTCCTCAGCTGCCGGTATATTGGAGGCCTCAGCAGAATAGGAAAGCTTCTATGGAACATGTGTCTTGCTGATATAATATGAGGAATATGGTGTGAAAGGAACAGCCGCATTTTTCGACAACAAGCAAAGCTCGGAAAAGGAGATGTTAAATAGGTTGAAAGACACTTTGTGCTCTTGGCTAGTAGTTCTCAAACCATTCCAAGGGATCCCATATTCTTCATTTTTTTATGATGAATCTCTCTTTGTAAACAGGAGCACAAATCTGACATAACCTTGCACATTGCCTTGTAAATGGGCTTCATGCTTTTCATACAGAAATGAAATACAATACCTTGCTTTTTCAACAAAAAAAAAATTGCAGAGTTTTTTCTTTGTTTTTCTATAATTCTTGCCCCCATTCTTCGTGAACCTCATTTTTTATCGTTAGTGAGAAAAAATGCATTAATAATCAAAAAAAGAAGCTTCAAAACAACAGAGTAGCATACCATGTTCAGTCCTGGATGGTTAGACTTGAAGAAAATAGAGTATGACTGTCATTGGAACAGCTGTAGATAAAAGGGGAAATATTCTTCTAAAATTATTGGGTTCAATTGGTGTAGGATTTTTTTATTGGAAATGATGAGTTGTTAAACAAGAAAATAATCAAAGTACGACTATCAGCCACCCAAAACAAGGATGCTGAGCCCACAAATTATTTGAATACTGCAAAATGGCAGAGAACAAATCCTCTCTAGAAGCCCCTTGTTTTGCTAAAGTGTCAGCTAGTCCATTTGCTGACCTTCTAGTCCACCTAAAGAAAACCCAAAAGGTGAGTTTCAATTGGTGGTTGAAATTTTTTTATTGGAAATGGTGAGTTTCATTAAACAAGAAAATAATCAAAGTACAACTGTCAACCACCCAAAAGGAGGATGCTGAGCCCACAAATTATTTCAATATTGTAAAATGACAGAGAACAAATCCTCTCTAGAAGCCCTTGTTTTGCTAGAGTGTCAGCTAGTCCATTTGCTGACCTTCTAGCCCACCTAAAGAACACCCCAATCTCCCTTCCTATGCATTTGATTTCCCTCACAAGCTGTCTATGGGTCCAAATCCCCAGACTATTTGCTTACAACCATCCTATTAAGAGCTTAGGGTCCCCCTTCACCTCAATTGGTTTTGGAAATTCTTTGAAAGCAGAATTTTTAGCTCAAATTCAAGGCTTAAAACTTGCCTTAAAGTTGGCTTGACAAATTGATTTGTTGAACAGGGTTATCAAGTGGTCTTGAACTGGTAAAGATCAGGGAAAGAGGAGCCCTGGATATTTCAGGTTAATGATTAGAGAAGCAAGAGACTTGATTGAATGTTTGAATGCCTCAATCAGATGGAAACCCACATCCACTAATAATCTAACAGATTAGCTAGCCAGAACAGGAGATACTGGGGAGAATCTATCAGGAATATATGTTCTGGGGTTTGAATTGTAAATAAGTACAATCATTTTGAACGAGATGTCCTCGGTATAATACTGTGTCTCTCTATATATTGCTATCAAAAATTCTGGGTGGTTTGGAACCCCTTTTCATTGCAATGAATAGAAATAGTTTTTCTTTTTGATAGGAAATGGTAACTTTCATTAATAAAGACTAAAAGAAAACACAGGTCCAGTCCCCAAAAAATGGAGACTAGCCGCCCATAAATCCAATTTAAAATTCAGCCCAAAACAATTCTCCCCTATTTGTCCCTTGTTTAGCTAGTGTATCAGCCAAACCATTTGCTGATCTTCTGACCCATCTAAGGGTCCGTTTGGTTTCCAGGAATAGGTGCCTGGAATCGGAATGGCTCCATTCTTGGGGGAATGGCCATTACAGCCCCCACCCCCCCGAAAGGGATTCCCATTCCAGAGTTTGTCAAGAAGTACAGAACTCATGACAAAAAGTCCCCCAAATAAAAATATAAAATATTATTAAATTAATAATAAGTTAATAGTAATAAAAAATAATAATATATTAATAATAAAATAATAAAATATTAACAGAATATTAGTAAAATAGTAATAAAATAATAGTACTATAATAAAATATTAATATAATACAATTAAAGTAATAACAAAATAATATTATTATAAAACATTAATAATTCAATAATAAAATATTATGAAAGCAATAATAAAATAAGAGTACATTCATAATTAAACTAATAATAAAATACTAGTAAAACATTTATAAAATAGCCATACTATAATAAAATTTTAATGAATTAATAATCAAAAGAAAATATATTACTTATTAAATAATAAAAAACAACAATAGAATATTAATAAACTGATAAGAAAATAATAATAAAATAAAAAATTGTTAATAAAATATAATGATATTTTGATAAATACTAATAAAATAATAATAACAAAGTAATAATAAAAATCCAAAATATTATTTAAATAAAAATAATTGAGTACAAATAAAATGTTAATATAATATAATTAAAATAATAATAAAACACTAACATATTAATTATTTAATAAAAAAATATTAATAAAATATAGTAATAAAAATATTATTAATGTAATCCTAAAATAATAATAAATTAATAAAATATTCATAAACTACAAATACCAAGATATTAATTGTTAAATACTAACAAAATAATGATTATATATTTATAAATATTAATAAAGTAATAAGAAAATAATAAATAGACTAATGCAAAATTGAAAATTTTCAGTTGATTCCAATTCCAACTCCCAATGAACCAAACAGCGGCAATCGGAACCGGATTAACAAGCATCAGGAATAGGTGATTCCAATTCTGGTTCTGATTCTGATACCTGTCCTGTCTGCAAACCAAACGGACCCTTAACAGATGCATCCAACTCCCTTAATAAACTTCTAATCTCCCTCAAAGCTTGCCTATGGATCCCAATTCCAAAGCTGCCTGATTGCAACCACTCTATCACCAGTTTTGAATCCCCCTCCACTTCAATTTGTTAATAGCCCAACCGTTTCCCCAATCTCAGCCATTGGAGGAGAGCTATAACTTCTGCTCTTAGGGAGTCTCCCTCTCCTAATGGCCCTGAATAACAGCCCTTGAGCTTAAAGAAGTCACTACTGCATTCCAGTTTCTAATGATATCATCAATGGAATAATCCTTGAACAGATCCAAGGTTTTTACCCAATGTGCAACCCGCAACCCAGAACAAAGTGTTATAATAATAATAATAATAATAATAACAACAACAATAATAATAATGTCATCAAAGGTTTGTGAAATACCACATACAAGGTTTTGCACTGAACTTATTTGTATTTGCACTCTTCCCAGACTGAGTCTATAGGAAAATAATAAAAACAAAAACAATAGTCATCCCTGTCTTTGTGTGCACCTATTTTCCTAAGATCTTTGGCTTATATTCCCCTTTCCTTTTGCTTAAAAAATTCAAGTTATTGACAAAAAAAAAGGTAAGATCAAATCAAAACAAAGGAAAAGAAGTCAATCGTAGTATCAACATTTATGTACAAATGAACAGATCAAAAAACAAGGAGTAATTAACATTGATATTGCTTGACAAGAGACTGCTTACTTTCACAATTAATTCTGTAACAGAAACTGACAAGAATCTTGCCATGTTAGCCACAATCACCCACTTTCCTCTACCAGCAGAACGTGATCTTCCAGACCTAGCCTTCTTTGCACCTTTTCTTGAGGGACTTATTACAACTTCCAAGTCACATATTAACAATTGCAGCTTTGGGTCCCTTGAAATAAAACCAACCCCGAGCTTTACAAGGGACTGGCGTAAGCTGAGTTTGATTTCACCAACAGATATATATTCAACAGAACCCTGAAACAATATCAGAAGCAACCCAAATATATGATTGGTTACTACTGTGAAGTCATAAGGCCTTGACCAAAAACATCACGCTGCTAAGCATTTATTTTCATATTATTCAGAATTTAGTAAAATAGACTTATCAAAAAAAAAGATTTAGTAAAATAGCTCAAGAAAACTCATGTTTCAACCTAAAAGGCAAGGGTTTGCAAACACATCTTATGAAGGTTAGCAATTTTTTTCTTCTTTTTTAGGAAAAGATAACTGCAGTAGTAATAGAAAAGCCCTCTCCTTACAAAAAGAAAGATAGTCCTCTCCCTCTCCTTACAAAAATTAATGTGGCAGAGACCAGTCACCATATAGAAAAGCCCTCTCCTGATCAAGCCAGATCATCTGCTATTATAGTCATGTTCTTGGGAAATATATAATGTGCCATTTAGATTGGCTACCATCCCTCTGATTTCATTTAGATAATAAACCAACCACCAAAAGCCAATAACAACCATTTGACCCCAACCCATCATATGATATGGCATTACTGAACACTCTTCCATAACAAACAAGCACATGCGACTGGTTTTATATTTAGACTATTAGTAACTATCAAAACCTCTATTGGAGTCATGGACTATTGAACACCATCTAAGCTTTGTCCCAACTATGTTGGTTCAGCTACATGAATCCTGTTTAGCCATATCCATTGTTAATCATGAGCACTTAAATCATTTGTTACTACTTCAATCCATCTCCTTTTTGGTCTTTGGTCTACCCCTAGCCCTTATAGCCACTTCAACTTGCAACAGATCACTTCTTCCTATGGGTGCTGCAGATGGTCTTCTATGCATGTGACAACTAAGCCATCTTAGCCCACTTTCTCTCATTTAATCACCTAGTGGAGCAACTCCTAGGTTCATTCATGACTTCATTTTAACCCTATCCTCTCTAGTTTTTCCACATCCATCTCAGCATACACATTTCTGCCACACTCATTTTTTTGGACATTGTTTCTTGACTGCCCAACACTCTGCTCCATAAAGCATTGCTAGCCTTACACTTTGAAGGACAGCAAGCACTTTGAAGGAGAAAATAAAACTAGGAATCACTCCTAGGTAGTTTAAGCCTCACACCCATACCATGGGAGCATCACATATCCACATAAAGAAACAAAATTACTGGATTATTTTCAATCTATGCTGAAAAAATAGATATATAACCAAAATAAAATTGCTGTACTCCTACTTTGTTTAGGAGTACTAATTTAAACTTGAGACAATGACTTCTAATAACTATAACCAAAATAACTTTGCTGCAAAACACTCCTTACCAATGAACTCCTATTTCTTATACTTAAACAAACTCAAAAATATCCAGAATTTATCCTAGCTCCCAGATAGAATCTGAAACATCAAATTTTGAAGCGTGTTGCATGACCCCTATTGATTTTCCTTTTAACCTAAGTGGTATTTGCCTAGCACATAACTCTGAATGCACCCCCCCTCCATATTGCCTACCTGCTCTAATTTTATGGGCAACATCCTACTCAATCTATCCATTGTTACGAAACCAAGGTAGGAAAAGGAAGATTTCAATTTCTTCTCTAGTAGTGGGGGGGATTGAAATTACAGATCAAAAAGAAATTGCTAAAACCTTTATTGATCACTTCAGATCAATATTTGGTAGGCCAATTACTGAGAGATGGGATTTGGGAGGACTGGAATGGGGGAACTTGGAAGAGATTCAAGTGGAAGGCTGGAAGCCTTGAGGAAGAGTTTTGAGGAAAATGAAGTTAACGAAGCCATCTTCTCTATGGATAGATCTAAGGCTCCTAGGCCTGATGGTTTCACTGTGGCCTTTTATCAAGATTGCTGTGAGATAATTAAGAATAATTTGATTAAAGTGTTCAGAGAACTCCAAAGAAGGGGAGAAATCAGTCCAAGGATTAACTCAACTTTCTTAGCTGTGATCCCAAATAAGCAAGGTGCCAACCAGCCAGGAGACTTCAGACCTATAAGCTTAGTGACCAGTATTTATAAGGTAATTGCCAAGGTTCTCTCTCTAAAGCTTAAAAAGGTGCTCCCCTCTCTCATCTCCCAATACCAAGGGGCATTCGTCCAAGATAGACAAATCATTGATCATATTCTAATTGCAAGTTAGTGTGTGGAGGCTCAAAAAAGGCTGAAGAGGAAGGGAGTGTCAATTAAATTGGACCTGCGGAAAGCCTATAATCTTGTGGACTAGGACTTATTTATTATTATAATGAGAAGGTGTGGTTTTGGGGACTTATGGTGTAAATGGATCAAAGGTTGTCTGCAAACAAGTCACTATTCTGTTCTAGTGAATGGCACTGCAATTGATTTCATTGAAGGGACTAGAGGCCTTAGACAAGGAGATCCACTCTCTCCCTTTCCATTTACTTTGGTAGTTGAGGTCTTGAGTAAACTGATTTCAAAGGCTAACTCTATGCAATTGATCAAAGGCTGGTCAATAGGGAGAGATAGAGTTTTGGTCTCACACTTGCAGTTTGCAAATGATACCCTGATTTTCTGTGATGGGGAGAGTAGAGAAGATGTGAAAAACCTTAAATTAGTTGTGAACTTGTTTGAAAGGACCTCCAACTTGACAATCAACTGGTCTAAGAGCCTAGTGAATGGCATCAATTTGGAAGAGAGTGATTTAGAGAGATTTGGCTGCATTGTTGTGAGATTGGAGATTGGCCTTTGTGTTATTTGGGATTTCCCTTGGGTGGAAACCCCATATCGGTCAATTTTTGGAACCCAGTAGTAGAAAGGATTGAAAAAAGATTGGCAAGTTGGAAGAGGAATTATATTTCTTTAGGAGGGAGAATCACATTGATCAAATCCACCTTGGCGAATCTTCTAGTCTTTTTTTTATCAGTAACAAAATGCTTTATTAAATAATAAGAATTGTGAAACTTTAAGTATAAGAGAGGGGAGGTAAACTATCTTAACTCCCCCACAACAAAGGAACAAAGAAGAAAGCTAAAAATTAGCCCAAAATATAGATTCCTTAAGCACCCCTTGATTGGCTAACCCGTCAGCCATTGAGTTAGCGCTTCTCTTCACCCAACTGTACTTCACCTCAATGTCCCTACTTAGCCATTTAAATTTCTTCTTTTCAAGGCTGTAGCTCCACAAACCATTGTTGTCTTCCTTCAGCCACCCAATCACCACCTCCGAGTCCCTTTCAATGACCAAGCATCGGATTTTTAATACTCTTGCTCTTTGGATTCCTTCCAGAACTACTAGAATCTCAGCCATAAGAGAGTCACCCCCTCCAATCAGGCCTGAGAAGATAGCAGTAATAATCCCAGCCTCATTCCTGAACACTCCCCCAATCCTGGAAGGCCCAGGATTCCTCAAACTACTACCATCAAAGTTCAGTTTTACGAATCCAGAAGGAGGGGGGGACCAAGATGGTCTAGAGGTTCTCTTACATTGGGCAGAGGTAGCTATTTCTTTCCACTTCCTCAATATGTCAGCCATGGAAAATTCTGAGAATAGCTCCATAGGTTTCAGCTAGTGAGCTACCCTTAAGTGTATCAGTTCAGTTAAGTTTTCTATGGATCTTTCCTTGTCTGAAAAAATACGTGAGTTTCTCTCTTCCCATATGGACCAGCACACAGCTCCCTAATATTTCTCCACATAACCTTCCCTCTTTTCTTAGGCCATCTTGAGAACGATGGAGAGAACAAGCTTTGCACACTCACAGGGGGATTCCAAGTACATCCAACAAGGGAAAAAACCCACTCACAAACAGTTTTAGTAACCAGACAAGTAACCATAAGGTAGTAACCCATTTCCCCATCAGCTTTGTAGAGATAACACCGCTTGGGAAGTAAACAGAAATTGGGTCTCTTTCTTTGAAGCAAGTCATTTGTGTTTATTCTTTCCAAGAAAATTTCCCAACAAAAACTACCAACCCAAGGAGGAATGGGTTTGCTCCAAATCTCTTTAACAAGGAAGGACAATCCAAAAGGATCAAAGTCTCAAAAAACAACGCACAAGAAAAGGAGCCAAAGGGGGAGGGGTCCAAAATCTAGAGCCATCCTTACTCGGGTCCAGGAAAACATTTTCAAGGATGGCTAGCAAAGACGAAATACAGCCCAAGTCTGTACCCCAGATTGTCCTTCTCAACCCTAGATTCCACCCAAAACCAGAAGTAGATTTTGAAGGAACTAAGAAAGAAGAAGTGGGTTCATTTTTCAAATCTGACAGAGAATACAAAGAGGGGAATTGATCCATCAGGGATGAATCCCCAACCCAATGTTGCTCCCAAAATTTAATTCGATTACCAGAGTTCAAATCATACCTAATCCAAGGGGAGAAAATCAAAAGCAAATCATGAATGGCTTTCCAAGGGGAAGCAGCTGTAGTCTTTGCCATAATTCCTGGATCCCAGTCATTGTCTTCCAGCCCATGTATGCTAGCCACTATCTTCGTCCATAATTTGTCCCTTTCCATTGGAAACCTCCACAACCATTTCCCCAACAATGCCATATTTTTTTCCTAATATTCCCAATCCCAAGCCCTCCTAGCTTCTTACTTCTAGTTACCACCTCCCAACTCACCCTGTGATCTTTCTTCTCCTCTCCTGACTCCCACAAAAAATCCCTCATTAACTTTTCCACCCTATTAGAGACCTTTGTGGGAATCTTAAACACTGACAGAAAGTAAACAGGAAGGTTAGCTAGGGTAGACCTAATCAAAGTGATTCTCCCCCGTAGAGAGAGATAACTTTTCCTCCAAGAAACAAGCCTTTTCTCAAATCTTTCCAATACCAGGTTCCAAAAGTTGTCCTTCATGGGATTATCTCCTAAGGGGAGGCCCAAGTAAATCAAAGACCAATCCAAAGTAACACACCCTAACAAACCTGCATATTCACTTACTTCCCTCTCTTCCAAATTCACTCCCACCAAGCAACTCTTATCAAATCTCACTTTGAGGTTAGGCATCTGCTCAAATAGTTGTATTACCGATTTTAAGTTCCCTATC